AATATGTTTGGATTCCTTCTTGTACCTGAAGAGAAATTAGATGTTCAATAACATTTAATATGTGACACATAAACAATGTCTAATCTGATAGAAAGGAAATACTATTAATTTTGAGATGTATTTTTGAACTTGACCAGGAAACTAAGGTTGGATAAACATCTTCCATGGTGACATTGGGGGACACTGTGTAAAAAAGGCATGAGGGCAGCATCACCTGACCTCCTCTAACTTCACAAGGATGAAAGAGGACCAAGATCAACAGCCCAAGACTGATTCCTAGGAGGTGGAGGTCAGACATGCATCCTTTCTCCACCACCTTTACCAATTCTGAAGCCAACCATCCCTACCATGACACTCTCTACTTCTCTGCTGGGTTTGATAATTCATTGCAGAAAGAAACCATACTCTCTTTCAAGGTACACATGTAGATGTGATTAGGTGATGAACAAACCGATCAGAAACACACAGTTACAGGAATTCACATTTGTACTTAGCAACAATAATGTAAATCTTCCTTTCCTTTGTGTTTATTTATTTATTTATTTTGCTTTGCCTTGAGGAGGAGAAAATGTAAGGACTCACAGTTGTGGACTTTAAAGGGAAAAAGCATTTCTATCTGGCTTGAGAAATAGCCAAGGATGAATGAATCCTACCCTCATGGCCTTTAGATGCCAAGTTCCTGGAGTCCCAAATAATCAGTGTTGGTGCCTGATGTACGTATTCAACTTGGAAGACTTTTTAAAGTAATAAAAATGTTTTTTTTTTCCTCTTCTAGTATAAAAATACTATATAGTCAGGTAGCACTGGTAAGACAAAATTTTTCACATTAGAGGGCTGTGGGGACCATGGTCTCGAGGAGCATCTAGCTGAATTGGCATAACATAGTTTATAAAGGAAATGTTCTACATTCTACTTTGGTGAACAGTGTCTGGGGTCTTAAAAGCTTGTAAGCAGCCATCTAAGATACTCCACTGGTCTCACCCCATCAGGACCAAAGGAGAATGAAGAAAACCAAAGACATAAGGGAAAGATTAGTCCAAAGGACTCATGGACCACAGCTACCACGGCCTCCACCAGACTGAGTCCAGCACAACTAGATGGTGCCCGGCTACCACCACTGACTGCTCTGACCAGGATCACAGTAGAGGGTCCTGGACAGAGCTGGAGAAAAGTGTAGAACAAAATTCTAACTCACAAAAAAAGACCAGACTTACTGGCCTTACAGAGACTGGAGAAACCTGAGAGTATGGCCCCTGGACACCGTTTTAGCTCAGAAATGTAGTCACTCCTGAGGTCCATCCTTCAGCTGAAGATTAGACAGGACCATAAAAGAAAACGAGACTAAAGGGGCACACCAGCCCAGGAGCAAGGACTAGAAGGCAGGAAGGGGACAGGAAAGCTGGTAATAGGGAACCTAAGGTTGAGAAGGGAGAGTGTTGATATGTTGTGATGTTGGTAACAAATATCACAGAAAAAAAAAAGATTTGCATATTACTCTGTAATTGCATTGAACTATTATGCAGTCACTTTTTGATTTTGTGTTGTCTCTCCTATCAGAGTGAGAGATTTTTCAAGGCAGAAGCTTTATATTAATCATTTCTTTATCTCAGTGTCTTTATATCTCATCCATACAGGAGCGTGGACTAAATAAGCAGGTGAAAGATACACAACCATCACATCAGATATACAGCTATACAGCTAATAACAACATATGATCACACAAGAGGTTTTGGACTATTCTGTAAAATCAGCAAAGTTCTCTAGACTGACTTTAATTGTACAGTGATTTTTTTTCCTTCTAGAACCAGAACAAATGAATAGGTAGCTGTTTAAGTTTCGGCATTGGTTTTAGTTTGATAATTGATTCACTGACAAAAAAAAAAATAAAAGGAAAATAAAAGAGCATAAAGAAACTCAACATATTTTCTGGAACAGTTAAGAGAATATGGCCCCTACGTGACCTCATATCCCAGAACAAGCTGTTTAAAAACTGAAAATGGTAGTTCAGCCACAGATGTCACATCCAGCTTCATGATCATTTTACCATCATTATCTAAATGCCATAATTGATAACAAATGGCAAGACCAGAGGTTGAGCAATAGAACCTTGCAACTTATCTCTCCTTATATGGCATATGGGGAAGATTGATGACAGCTGGATACTGGAAAACCTTTGCATAGTCATCGAAGCAGCTGAAAGGCTGGGCAACAGAATTTCTATTAATATATGGCAAAGAACTTCAAACTATATACTCCAGGCCTAAGTTTCTGGGAAGTGGTGAACAGCCCAATTAGATGCAAAGAAATCATGCTAAGAAACAACTCATTTGAAGCAAAATTCCTGAGGCTGGGAAGGAGCCTCAAAATGAGACCTGCAGAGAATGGCTATGGGGTGGGCTGTCTACTGATGCAGCAAACCAAAAAAAAAAAAACAAAAAAAAAAACCACAAACCACCAAACCCATTGCTGTCGCGTCAATTCCGACTCATAGTGACCCTATAGGACAGAGCAGAACCGCCCCATAGAGTTTCCAAGGAGCACCTGGTGGACTTGAACTGCTGACCTTTTGGTTAGCAGCCATAGCTCTTAACCACTATGCCACCAGGGTTTCCACAGATGCAGCAAGGGGAGGACAATGAGACTTGGATACGGCATGATGGTCTCACCTGGGAATAGAAGGTCAATCTATGTATAATAGCTCTCAATTCTCAAATGAATTATTTTGCAGGTGTCCATTTACAAACAAATTAAAGAATGCTATTTCTATATCCTGACTCCACCGCTTAAGAACTGCACAGTGTGGTAAGTTATTTAACCTTTTTGTGCCTTTTCGCATCTGTAAAATGGAGGAAACAATGGTATCTACCTCATGGGGTTGTTTAGAGGATTGAATGAAATACACTACTAAGGGGCTTAAAAGTGTGCCTGGCACATACGAGCCACTCAACAAAAGTCAGCTATTGTTATCTCTAGGTTTTGATTAATAGGATGAAATCTTTCCAAATTGGAAGAATTTTGTAAATTCCATATCATAAAACTTAAGAGAAAAAAGGAGTTTAATATTTCTCCTCTAATGTCAATAAGCATACACAAGTATTTAAAAAATTTGATCCATACACTCAACAAACATTTACTGTTAAATTTCTATGCGCAAGGTGCTGCTGAGTGCTGATGGTGGTATAAAATTGAATCAGCCTTCTACTCGAGAAGTCTCATGACCGTATAGCTGGTGTTCCTTCTCTCTTGCTCTTTGTTATACCTCTCATATATAAAACGTCCTCGTTTCCTTTCAGGTGGGGCAGCACCAAGTAACAGAGTTGAGCATAGAGCAGCACTTGGCTGGGATTATTTGGAATCTATTATGATAGCTTGTATCTTGGCATATTAGGCAGTTTTCTGGAGCTGTCCTTTCCCTCAGCCCCATACCTTAGCCCCCAAATGCTTCAGTAGCATACAGTAGGTTTATGGCAGATACTCTGTAAGTATAATAAATAGGAAGTCTTACTAATGGGAACTCATAGGAGGGTTGTTTTCCCTTCCCTTTATGCCCAGAGTGAGATATTCTTTTGACGAAGGGGAATTCAAGACTGGTAATAATAACACCATGGAGCTGCATTTTGAGGTGAGCGTTTAAGGTAAAACAGATCATTCCCTGCATGAAATATGGAACTGGCTCTGATAACCAGGCCCTGGGACACTGACACCGCATTGGCAAAATCTAAAATGTTGATATCCAAGTCTCATCGTTCTCCCCTTTTGGTGAGCTAGAGGGAGGCACAGGCATTCCTCTATATTGCTGGTGGGAAGGCAAAGTGGTCTAACCCCAATGGAGGGGATTTGGCAACAGCTACCTAAGTTACATATACCCTTATCCACTGACTAGCAATCACTCACCTAGGAATCTATACCAAAGAGAATCTGGCGAAAATATGAAAGCATATACACAAGGATATTTACTGCAGTACTACCTGTAATTTTAAGAGTCTAGAAATAACCCACGGGTTATCAATATGAGTTTAGATGGATGAACTATGGTACGATTACACAATGGAGTACTATGCAGCTATGCAAAGGAATGTAGAATATCTACATATACTGCTCTGGAGCCATTTCCAGGATTAGTGAGAAAATCTAAGTGTACATGGTAAGCTATGTTTTATCTAAGAATGGTGTGGGATAAAAATATATAAATATATTTGCTTATACTTAAATAAAGGAAGGATAAACCAAAACTAATAAAAATGATTACCTCTCTCGGGAAGAAGGGATAGAGACAGAAGGGAACAGTGCTTTGTAGGATTTTGAGGTATGTGTATGTCTTACATACTTACAAAACAATACTAAATGAAAAACAGCAAGCCTCCAAATCAAAAGCAAAATGAAATAAATGCTTAAGAATGTGCCCCTTACAATGCAGGTGAACTCAGCCAGCGGGTGGTATTACAATCCTTAATTTCTTCAGACCCAGACACTGAGGCCCTAAACTTTCTGAAGAGGGGAAGCATCGTGGGACGCTGGCTCACTTTTTTGCCTTTGTCGGTTTCAGCAACCTCCTCCCATCCGCCCACTGTCTTCATTTGGAAGATAGACATCTCACAGGAATGTAATATGAATCCCTAACAGAGCCAGCGATGACGCATTTTATAAAAGGGATACTGCCATTATGTCATCTGGCCAGGCTTACTAGTGATAGGAAAAAAACGGATGCTCCTGAAACTGGTCCCTGCGTTGCACGGAACACGGATTTGGATACATACATAGCATTACGTTCTGCGGTGCATTAGCGCTGTCATCCTTTGGACACTGTCCTTGGAGTCCTTGTTCCCCTTATGCATTTACCACTCAGGAAAAGAGCATCTGGCTCCTTGGCGGAGCCAGCCCAAGAACTCAGTCCCAACTTTCAAGGCAGCTTTCCTCAAAGTCGTTCTGGACGAAGATTCTAAACCAGTGCTCTTAGCACTTTCGCAGTTTCTTCAGCCTTGGGGAGAGAGAGGAGGGGGCTACAAAGCTGCCAAATCAGTATTCAAGTTTCCCTCCTGGAGCAGCGAGAGGCGCCAGCTTCTTAGGAAGCAGCCTGCTGCTGCCTGGTGACACCGGACCCCGGCAGCGCTGAAAAGGCTCCGACTCTCCCGAACTTGGAGGCTGTCCCGGGGAAGTCTTCGCGGTGCAAGCTTGAGCGCACCAAATGGCCGCTCGGAACTGCCGAAGGCTGCCTGGATCACTGGTTCACATAAGCGTGGGCTCAGCAGGCTAAGCTGCTGGCATTTGTTCAGTGGGGGAAAAACAAAATAAACTTTGTGTGGAAAGTGATAACCCTGACATTTCAATATATTTACCATGATGATGTTTCCTAGAGTCACAGAGTAAAACAAATTAGAATTATAAATACCATCCAATTTTCCTAACAGCTCTTGTGAGTGGAAATCAAATCACCTTAGTCAATCAAAGGCAGCTTAAATGCCACTATGCTGCTCTCCTTGAAGATCTGAAAGCACCTATCATTCCCGTGTAGTGCCCCAGCTCCCTTGGCGTGTGAGAGACTAGACACTTCTGCATAAATATGGAAATCAAGTTGATGATTTGTACTTCTACTGAGTACTGTACTTAAACTTGGTTATCTTCTTGGCTGAGGCCTAAAATTTGAGGCAATGCTTAAGGCTTCTCGGGAGCTCTGGGAGAGAATAAAAACATATAATTATCCTTTTCACATGGGGAATCGTTCCATTAGTCTCAAACTATCTGCAAGAGTAGAGGAATTTAAAATCAATATTAAAACATGATGGTTTTACATGAGATGTTGAATTGGGGGCCTGTTACTGTGTGGTGAGGAAACCCTTCTTGGCAATGAACACGACACTCAGAAGGCTGTTTGAGGTAAATATTTCATTCCAGTCAGCCTTCGCCTGAGAAGGAAAGAGAGGCCCACGTTACTCTCATGGCCACGGGTTGTGGTAATTGCTGAGTACTTGGATAGGTTGTCAACTTGATAGCTGTTTGTCATGTCCCATATAATTGGAGCCCCATAGAACAATAATGAAGTATCCCCTCCATGCATACGACTCTGTGATTGATGACCCAGCTGAGGAAATCATTTACAAATACAGGCCAAAATTCAGCCTTGTGATGGATCTCATCTGATATTCTCTCGGCCCTCCGAGTGTGGCTCTTTGATTGACACCCCCAGTATTGTGATAACCCAAGAGAAAAATCTTGCCTCTAGACACAACAAAGGCCCCTAAATTGACTCACTCTTATTGAAATAGAGTGAAACTTTGTTAGGCTTTCTTCTACCCGACGGAAGGTTTAATGCATATATATTTTTAATGCTGTGTGAGTGAAAATATTACATTGGAGGTAATATCAGCTGATTGACGTTTTAAAAAATTGAGTTCCATTTTTGTGTGGTTATTTTCTCAGTTAGATGTGCAGAAGCAAAAGGGTGCTGGAGGCCCTGGCAGTCCTGGCCTGGAGTGGACTCCTCTGGGAGCAGGTCTTGGAAAGGGCACAGAGGATGTGTTGATTTAATGATCAATTTCCCCTTGCACAAGCTTTCCCATCTCCTTTAAACAACGAATTAAGTCACATAGCAACACAAATTTTTTGCTGTTCAAGATACTCAACTCACCATTAGAAATAATTGAGTTAATTTAAAAATTATAAATGAGAGAATATTTCAAGAACGTATGACCTTATAACCCGCAGCAATCATTTGTAGAGAAAGATGCTATTAGTCCCAAGGAGGATGATTGAGTGATATTTTTTAAAAAGAATCAAATGACTAGTATTCATCAAGGGCCGTTGTCAATGGAAGACAAAGGAATCAGGGAAGATGGCTCAGTAAACAATTAAAAGAAGTATAAGAATTTCAAATTATATGAAGGATGTGTATTATACAAAGGAATTATATGTAAAGCCCTGGTGGCACAGTGCTCAGCTGCTAATCACAAGGTTAGTGGTTGGAACCCACCAGCTGCTCTGAGGGAGAAAGATGTGGCAGTCTGCTTCTGTAAAGATTTACAGGCTTGGAAACCCTATGGGGCAGTCTTATTCTGTCCTATAGAGTCGGAATCGACTTGATGGCAGTGAGTTTGTTGCTGTGTAAAGTGTAGTGAGTTTATATACATGCAGACAGATTCTTGCATTTATATTTTCCCATTAGAACCATATTAAATATAATCAGTGCTTATCTGTTGCTCTCAGAAGATAGAAATATGCTTCTCTTCCACCCCTCATCTGTCAGTTTGTCATAGTATGGCAGCTTGTGTGTTGTTATGATGCTGGAAGCTATGCCACCGGTATTTCAAATACCAGCAGGGTCACCCATGGTGGACAGGTTTCAATGGACCTTTCAGACTAAGATAGACTAGGAAGAAAGATCTGACAATCTGTTTTCGAAAATTAGCCAATGAAAATCTTACGGATCATAACAGAACATTATCCGACTCGCTTGCTTTGGATACATCATCAAGAGGGATCAATTGCCAGAGGAGAACATTTTTGGTGAAGATGAGGGCCAACAAGCACATGGGAGACATTTGGTGAGATGGATTGGCACAGTAACTGCAACGATGAGCTCGAACACTTTGATGATTGTGGGATAATGTGGAGCCAGGCAATGCTTCGTTCTGTTGTACATAAGATTGCCATGAGTCAGAGTGGACTCTGTTGCAGCTAACAAAAACATGATTCTCTTTAGCTATAGAATGAGAATAGGAAAATCCATCCATCCATCCATCCATTTACACAGTCACATATTGAGAGCCTACTAGGTGACAGAAGTTCAGGGTTACAATTAGCTTACATCAAATGTATGATTATGAAAGTACAGTCACGAGTCACTTAACATCCATGATGCGTTCTGTGAAATAGGATGTTATGTGATTTAAACATTGTTCAAACACCATACAGTAATGTGCCAGTTAACTTCCCTTCCAGCAACCTCCAATCACTGGGAGGAGACTGTGGGGCAGCACCCCCTCCCCGCCGATCCCTTCCCCCCCACCCCGAAGAGCAAAGGAAAGAGAAAGGCTAGCAGGCAAGACAGAGGGAGGGAAGCATGGGGATAGGGTGGCTGGTGGGGCCTGAGCCCCATTGAGTGGTGAGCTGAGGGGAAAGGGGTCAGGAAGGAGGCGAGCATTTATATAATGTATATAATGTGGTGTTCACACAATGTCCAAATCACATAATATCATATTTCCCAGAAAGTGTGGTGGACATTAAGCAATGCCTTTCTCCATCCCTCAGTCCTGTGGGGGGTGGGGGCCACAACTCCTCCTCCTCCCCATGCTGTATAACTTTATGGGACCATGGATGTCTTAGTCATCTAGTGCTGCTCTGACAGAAATACCACAAGCAGATGGTTTTAACAAAGAGAAGTTTATTCTCTCACAGTCCAGGAGGCTACAAGTCCAAATTCAGGGCATCAGCTCCAGGAGAAGGCTTTCTCTGTCGGCTCTGGAGAAAGGTCCTTGTGATACATCAGTCTTCCCTTGGTCTGGGAGCTTCTCTGCACAGGAACCTCAGGTCCAAAGGACACGCTCAGCTCCCGGCACTACTTTCTTGGTGGTGTGAGGTTCCCATGAATCTCTGCTCACTTCTCTCTTTTATATCTCAAAAGAGATTGGATTAAGACACTATCTAATCTTGTAAACCTCATCAGTATAACCTCATCACAGTGACAGAATTTACAACACATAAGGAGATCACATATAATCTCATCATAGTGATAGACTTTACAACACATAAGGAAATCACATCAGATTACACAGTCATACAACACTGGGAATCATGACCCACCCAAGTTGACAGATATTTTTTGGAGACACAATTCGATCCACGACAACGGACATATATGTATGTGGTTGGACCTTGCCCCGGCGGATGTTAAGCGACGCCTGGCTGTACGTGTGATATTTGTTGTTGTTGTTAGATGCCGTTGAGTTGGTTCTGACTCGTAGTGACCCTATGTACAACAGAATGAAACACAGCCTGGACCTGCCCCATCCTCACAATCATTGCTATGTTTAGCCCATTGTTGCAGCCACTGTGTCAATCGATCTCGCTGAGGGCCTTCATCTTTTTCACTGACCCTCTACTTTACCAACCCTGGTGTCCTTCTCCAGGGACTGGTTCCTCCTGATAACATGTCCAAAGTACATGAGGCAAAGCTCACCATCCTTGCTTTTAAGGAGCATTCTGGCTGTACTTCTTCCAAGACAGATTTGTTTGTTCTTCAGGCAGACCGTGGTATATTCAATATTGTTCGCCAATGCCATGATTCAAAGGCATCAATTCTTCTTTGATCTTCATTATTTGTAGTCCAGCTTTCACATGCATATGAGGCAAGTGGAAATAACATGGCTTGGGTCAGGTGCACCTTAGTCCTCAAAGTGACATCTTGGCTTTTTAACACTTTAAAGAGGTCTTTTGCAGCAGACTTGCCCAATGCAATATGTCACTTGCTTTCTTTCTTTTTTTTAAAAAAAAACTTTTTATTGTTCTTTAGATGAATGTTTACAGAACAAATAGTTTCTCATTAAACTGTTAGTACACATACTGTTTTACTACAATGGTTAACAACCCCACGACATGTCAACACTGTCCCTTCTCAACCTTGGGTTCACTGTTACAGGCCTTCCTGTCCCCTCCTGCCTTGTAATCCTTGTCTCTGGGCTGTTGTGTCCCATTAGTCTCGTTTTGTTTTATGGGGCTATCTAATCTTTGGCTGTAGGGTGAACCTCGAGAGTGATTTCATTACTGAGCTAAAAGGGAGTCCGGGGTCCATACGCTCAGGGTTTCTCCAGTCTCTGCCAGGCCAGTAAGTCTGGTCTTTTTTTGTGAGTTAGAATTTTGTTCTACATTTTTCTCCAGCTCTGTTCAGTACCCTCTACTGTGATCCTGGTCAGAGCAGTCAGTGGTGGTAGCCGGGCACCATCTAGTTGTACTGGACTCAGTCTGGTGGAGGCCATGGTAGTTGTGGTCCATTAATCCTTCGGACTAATCTTTTTCCTGTATGTTGTTTCCTTCATTCTCCCTTGCTCCCGAAGGCGTGAGACCAGTGGAGTATCTTAGATGGCTGCTGACAGGCTTTTAAGACCTCAGATGCTACTTACCAAGGTAGAATGTACAGCATTGTCTTTATAAACTGTGTTATGCCAATTGAACTAGATGTTCCCCGAGACCGTGTTCCTCCCAGCCCTCTGCCCAGCAATTCAGTCCCTCAGGGAGTTTGGAAGTGTCTATGGAGCTTCCATTACCTTTCCTTGTACAAGTTGTGCTGGCTTCTCCAGTATTGCATACTGTCTTACCCTTCACCAAAGTTACCACTTACCTATTGTCTATTTAGTATTC